TATATATATAATCTAATAACTTAAAAGTATTCTGTCAGCAAAAAAAAAGCATTCTATTTAAACACAGTTTTAAAAAAATGAAATACTCACTTGTATGTATAATAGGTAAATATTTTATTAATATTTAACACAAATATTACAATAAATAAAATACAAAGAATCAATAATTACCACATTTTTTAATATTTTTAAAAAAATATTAATGATTATTAATTAAAAATAATATTAAAAATATAAATTTACTTATATTTTTGTGTTATGGATAAATATTTAATATCATTGAGAACTAGTTGAACCGTGGAAAAAATGAAAAGGACAAGGGACAAAGTGTACAACAATGATGACATAGAACACTCAAGGAGGGAACGAGTAGTCTTATTACAAAATCGACTTTGTGATAAACCTTGTCTCTCATAAAATGCAAATAATTTATAATAATATCTGTCACCTAAAGCCATATTATCTCACGCTTGAATAAATTAATAAAACTATATTGTAGAATTAAAAAAAGAAAAGAAAAGGAAACATCATTTATAATTAAATATTTGAAATTATATAAATATAAAATTGAATTACACTATCTTTGTGTGAAAAAAAGGCTAAAATTTTGTTCTTTTTTATTCTTCTTCTTTGGTTTAAAGTATATACTCCTTCTTGGAAAGATTAATTATGTACTATGCATATTATATTATTTTAACATTAATACGTCTCCTAATAATAATCATTGATAGTTAATTTAAGTACTTGTACTTTGAAACTTTAAAAGATAAAATAAAATTGTATAAACATTTTTAAAAAAGTGAGTATAATTTACTTAACATAAAAATATGTGTGGACAACATTTTTTTTCACCATGACAAGGGAAAAGAAAAGGGTGAACTTTTATTTTTCGAAAAGCAGAAACTCTAGCCTTAATGGGCTGATATCTATCTCTCATGAGTCATGACTAAGGAGTAATTGGGCCAAATTGCAATTAGGGGCCCACATGTGTGAGTCTGCACACGTGTGATCCCTACCATCAATCAATGCGGTACGTGTGGGTATGCTTTACCATAACCTAAGCTCATGTGGGGGCCCTACTTTGTAGTCTTCGTGTCTTATGCTTAAGGGAACCTAAAAACTTTACCATGCGCTCATGTCCAATTCCTTTCCATACGCCTCTTTCATCCACCCTTCATTTTCTGCCTTGGATCAAAGAATGTAACATATCCATTGGTTGTGCTTTGATAACTTATTTTAATTTGGATTGATTTTTAATCTTCTTATTTTAACTAAAATAATGCATTTCTTCCCCTATTAATCATTCAAGGCCTATTTGTTTTTGCTGTGTTGTTTTCATACCGTAAAAAAAGCTATCATTTATTAAAAGTAAAAACAAAAAATGTTAAATGTTATAAGAAATTTTGTTAATACACCTTTTGTTAACCAAAAATAAAAATTATCAATGCACATTTTGAAAGTGTTTACACTAACCAATACGATATTATACTAACATTTGATATATCGAGAATATATATTAGTTTTATTAATAAATAATGGCAAATCAAACAATAAAATATTAATATATAACATTTTTTACAGCTGTTTGTCAAAATGATTTTTTTCACTTTAAAATTATATTATATTATTTCATAAATTAAGATTATGCTTGTAACTCGATTTTCAGTGGTAATGAAATAAAAGTATGACAATAGGTTTGAGTTTAATTAATATTTAGAATAATTAAATTTAATTAGGTTAGATTATATTGAGTTGGTCAAAATTAATTCATATAGTTTGTAATGAACATTCTTTTAATTTTTAAAATTTTTAATACAAAATAAAATAAAATAAATTTAATTAGGTTTGAATTTATCGAATTTGAGAATGTAAATTTTGATACAATATTGAAAGCATAACATATTCATGCCTATATTTATTAATAGTATTAAATTAATTTTTCTAACGATACAAGATTTTCTAATTAATATTTTCATTTATTCCAATGAAAAATATTAAAATTTTAAATAAAAGTGAATTGTTATTTGTCTTTAAAGTATAAAATATATTTAACATTATTTTTTGAATAACGAACAAAATAAATAAATTTACACTTTTTTTATTGGTACACTTAAAATATTAATTGATGAAAACTTGATAAAACTAATTTTGTTTGAAAATAATTATTATTTATCCTAAATAATTAATATAATAATATACTAATATTATAGTATAATCTTAAAAAAAGTGAGAGACAGTGATGCAAAATGTTGAAAGTGTTACGTGAAAACGAATGAAATAGTGACAGGTGTAGGAGTATAGATGGTAGCAGACGCAGCGGATAAGTCAGAAATTTCATGAATCGTACCGCAGTCTTATCTGTACGGTTCATACGGAAAGAGATGACTGGTTTAGCCGGTAGCCGGTAACTTTTGTACTCAGCATTCACCTTGCTCCACGCGCCCGCGTTATTCTCAATGCAACTTGAGTTTGTTTTGGCGTGGACCACACCTTCCTATCTTCTTTAAATAAATATTATGTCTAATTTATATATTTTTAATAAATATTTATAGAGTAAAAAATTAAGTAGGAAATATATTATTTTTATAAATTTAAATTTATTTTTATTATTTAAAATTATTTTATTTTAATTTAAAAAATTTTCAGAATATAATTTATTTTTAAATTTATGAGAAAATTTTATTTATTTTAACAAAATTTATTTTTTATTAATGATATTTGTAAAGTAGCGAGTGACTTACTTGTTAGAGTCAGGAATCCTTGTCCATTTTATCTGCAGGGAAATGGCTCCAAAGGACGTGTGCCTCTATCCTGACGAGGTTATCGTCACCGATGGTAGTCGCGAGTTCGCATACTAGAAATTAAGTGAAGTTATACTAAAAATTATTTTTAAAATACTAATTACATCTTTTTAACCAAAAATATACTTTAATTTTTAATTTGTGTAATTAATTAGCATTTGTTAAAATCAAACTTGCACCGAACTTGTGAACTATCTATATACACTCTCTTTCTTTTCCCAGAAATGTTATTACCATATTAAGAAAATATGTTTTTAATGATAATTTAAATTTGTGTATTTATGTTATTTTCATTTAATTTATATATTTTTTCTCTCGTACAAAAAGATATTGTTAGTATACAATATTTTTTTAAAAATATATAGTCATATTTTATAATAACACTTTTCAGTCTGTCTCTTCGTAAAATTTGCTTGGCAGATTGTTGTAGAATGAAAAAAAAAATGTTGTTAATAAATACTATTTCTATTTATTTAGAAACTTATTACTATATTTCATATATTTTTTAAAAATGAACTGTTTTATAAATTTTAGTGAAAATTTGAATTTATTTTGTTTGTAATTTTACAATATCATACAATTAAAGATTCACACACATATAACAATTGATTATAGTGGCAAATTAACTATAATGTGAGACTTGAGAGAGAGGCTAAGCTGTTTTGATGTTCTAACATGATTAAATAATAATAAAAAGTTGGACATTATTACTAATTACTTTTAAGAAGCATTCAATTAATTATTCATTAAATTATCTTATCTTTTCGGCAAAGTAACTTAGTTACTCGAAAAAATCATCAACGATTTTCAGATTTTAGTTACCAAAATTTTAAATGTAGTGGTTTTTATTTCAATTCTCTAGCTATGTTTTTAAATATTTTTTCATTAGCCATAAATAAATAGAAGATGATGTAGCAATAATAAATGACATAAAACAAAATATGAGATTAAATAATTAAATTATTATTTTAAATTTTTTTACCAAGTAGATAAAATTTATAAATTTTATATAAAAATAAATTAATAAGTATTTTATTATATTATTTTTTTTAACATGTAATATGTTTCTAAAGTACAAATAAATATCAAATTTTAAATGTTTATAAATATATAAATTATGAATATTTTGATATATATGATCATGAAAATAATATAAAATAATGGAATAAGTTATTTTATTATTTTTTATTTTACAAAAATTAAAATAAAGTTTCGTATAGAAAAACTGATGTTCTCATAGAAAATAATATATAACTTTCATAAATTATTTATAATTTATTTTAATATAGTTTATAAAAAATAAATTTATTTAAAAAAATTATCATTAAATTTATAACACAAATTATATTTTAATATGATCTTATTAAACAAATACTTCAATAAATAATTATCTAAATACACCCTTCAAGTTATGTTGGAGTGGGCCCAAGTGAAGAATACATATAGAGGGACGTTGGTTGGCTTAACTTGTGCAACGTATTGCTCATATTTTCATATAAGATTATTTATTTCTGCGTGAACAACACATAAGATAATTAATTGAACATTGAATAATAATGAAAATATTATTATTGCTTTTGTTATACATTATTTGAAAATATAAGTAGTAATTTTAATTACTTCAGTCACATCAAATTACTTTAAAATAATAACCTTTAAATAAATTCACACGCATTCATTATAATTTTTAGCATTCAGTCTAAATCATCTCACTTTTTCTTCTATTTTATTACACGCAAACATGACATATCTTATTTACAATCTAGTCACTCACACAGGGAATAAGAGGATAATGTAAAAAAAATACGAAACAAATTTGACTTTATTTACTTTTTGTACCAGATACGTACGTACAATCATTCTTAATGTTTTACTATTAAACGGATATAAATTGACTTTACCCACTTTATAATAATAATACTAATAATATTTTTAACACATATTTAAAGATAAAAAATATAATATTTAATATTATTGATATATTAAATTTATTACTTTTTATGAAAAATTATAATTTTTATTATGTGAGTTATAATAAATAAAAAAAAACAATATATTATCCTTGAATGCGGCGTGGAGCTCACGTACACAGGAAGCTCGTGGCCAACCTACCAAACCACAAACGTAAAGTAGCGGAAATTCTAGTTCAACGGTTGCGACGCGGTGTTTCCTTCATGTCCCATCCTACATTCGACAGACACAAAAACTAAATTAAATAATTAAAAAAAAAGGGGTTAAAACCTCTGTCTGTTTTTTTTTTCTCTCTCTCTCTCTCTCTCTCTCCCTCCACCCCAATTCCCCTACTTGCTTTGTACCTTGTTCCTCTTTTTTCTTTCCAAACTTAAAATCTTTACCTTTAACACGCCAACCCCTTTTGTTTTCTCTGCTCAAATTTGCATCTTGAATCTCCTTTCTCACTTCTCAGCAACATGGTTTCGCTTGGAGCTTCATGTGTTGTGTGCTGTGTGTTCATGCTTCATGTCACTTTCAGTTTCGCTGGGGACATAGTACACCCTGATAATATTGCTCCTAAGAGGCCTGGTTGTGACAACAACTTTGTTCTGGTACTTAAAAAATTATGTCTGATGTGAATTGCTTGTTGAGGTGGTTGTACAAATGTCACTTTTTTAAAAAAAAAAAATTGGATTTGTTGTTTGTTTGGATGATGGGAAAGAGGAGGAACAAGGAGAGGATTTGGGGAGAAAATGTTTAAAATTTTCTTTCCTTTATGGTAATTATCAAGTAAATTCAAATTTTAGTTTTCTGTTTTGGAAAAATGAGTTTCTTTGCCCCCCCGCCCTCTCTTCTCTTCCTCCCCAAAGAATGATGCTGTGGTGTATGTTCATTTGAAATGATATTTTTTCTGTTCTTAGACATAAGATGCTCGGTTATGTTTTAGATTGCTTGTAGAATCAAGCTCTGGAAGTAGAAAGACACTTTTTTTTTTTGCTTTTTTTTTTGTGCTTCTTCTTATTGTATTAATCTCTGGCAGAACTTTTCATGCTGCTAGGAAAATTAGGGAAAAACAATAATATGGAATGATTTGATTAAGGTTTTGTTTTAATAGAATTGTTTTTTGTAAGTATTGTTGTAAGTGGCGCCCTGTTTAATTGCAGTGGTGTTTTTCTGGCTTTGCAATGGAGAGATCTATTATGTGGCTGAAGTGTGATAATTCTAGTAACTTTAGTTGGTATCATGTCTTTGATTTCTTTGCTTTTTCTCCTCTTCCTATCTAAACAAACTTGCAAATTCTCAGTTTTCCTAATTGAGGCCGACTTAGCTAGGCTTGTTTTCTTGATACCACTGAAAGACTTGAATTTTTTTATGCTTCTCCATATGTTTTTACTCTTTATCTGCCCCCATAATTCTTTTTTTATTTTTCCCTCATATGGTTCACTTCTTCTTGATTGGCCTTCCTTTGAGGGTATGCTTTTTTAGTGAAATGAAGGAAATGTTGAGTGCTTGAATGCTTTATATTTGGAATTGAAACAAGGTGACAGTGACTAGATTAGTGATAAAAGTATGTTTTATGAAATTTGCAAATCTGATGTATTTCAGTCTTTCAGCAAACTACCGTGTGGCCTGTTACTATTTTCTTACAAAGATGGATAGGTATAAAGTATGAACGAGTTTTTTCTTAAACAACTTTGACCTATTTCTCTTTTGTTAGGTTAAAGTTCCAATTTGGATTGATGGTGTGGAAACCTGTGAGTATGTTGGTGTTGGTGCAAGATTTGGCCCCACTTTGGAATCGAAAGAAAAACGTGCTAATCATACTAGAGTTGCCATTGCGGACCCTCCTGATTGTTGTAGCAAGCCTAAGAATAAGGTATTATAATTTTATGCTTTATAACTAACCAAATGCAGCTCCTCCTCTGCATATGAAGCATAGATGTTCAGATTAAAAGCTCTAATTTTTTAGATATTTATTAATTTGTAATACGGAGTGCCTTGCAATTTGTTAGCTCACTGGTGAAGTCATTTTGGTGCACCGAGGACAATGTAGTTTCACAACCAAGGCAAATATAGCTGAAGAAGCTGGTGCTTCAGCCATCCTCATTATAAATTATCGTACAGGTGTTTGCATGCAATTTTTGCTTTTTTCAGACCTATAGTCTCTTTCATTTCACTTTTCTCCATTACAAACTTTACAGTTAAAGGTGATGGGATCCTGTGGTTCATAGTTTGTAGACTGCTAAATAATTTTTGTTCCATATTTATTGTTAGAATAAACATAGGCATTTTTGTAAATATTGTGTTTGTTTTAAGCAACTGTGTTATGTCCTATTGTGCAGAACTTTTCAAGATGGTTTGTGAAGAGAACGAAACTGATATTGACATTAGAATACCTGCTGTCATGCTTCCACAAGATGCTGGAGAAAACCTGGAAAATCATATACTAAACAAGTCAATAGGTATGTTTCACTTTATCTGTGAATGTGTCTACTTGTTTGTAATCAGTCATGGCTTTCCTTTGCCACAGAAAAATTTAAAATAACTACTTGATATTTTGATGCTTGATCTGATTTTTGTCTTATGTGATATTCTTTGCATTTCTGCAACTGTGTCTGCTTTAAGTCTCCGTGCAGTTGTACTCTCCACTGCGCCCAATGGTTGATGTTGCAGAAGTGTTTTTATGGCTTATGGCTGTTGGTACCATTCTCTGTGCATCTTATTGGTCTGCATGGACTGCCAGAGAGGCTGCTGTTGAGCAGGAGAAGCTACTAAAGGTTACCTAGTTTCTTTATATGCCGTTTTTATTCATTTTCCCTAATATAAAAATAAATGTTATTGGCCTTAGAAAGAATGAATACAAAAATTGTCAAAGGCACATAAAGGGAATGCTGAAAAGAAAACCAACTCCTAAAAACTATAAAGCACTTGTATTCTTGCAGACCTGTCATTGCGGCTTCCTTATGAGAAAGTGTATTGTTTGTGTTATGAACTAATTTTGTTCTTCATAAAGGAGGCTTTCTTCTCAAATTTAAAAACTCATTAATCCAGTTACTAATATATAGAATGTTCACACTTGCAGGATGCTTCAGATGAATATGTAAATACGGAGAATACTGGTTCCAGTGGTTATGTGGAAATCAGTACTGCAGCAGCAATTTCATTTGTTGTGATTGCTTCTTGTTTCTTGGTTATGCTTTACAAATTAATGGCATCGTGGTTTGTTGAAGTTCTGGTGGTTCTATTTTGTATTGGTGGGGTTGAGGTGAGTTATTATTTTTTCCAAGCTTGATCCTTGTTGATTATGTTTCTTCCCTTGGCCTTCCTCAAATCAATTTACTGATCAGCTATATCCCTATACCTTTGCTGTCATCATCTTTGAGACACTTGCAAAATTTGGGTGGTTACTTAGTTTTACATCCAAAATAGAGAAAGAAAATTCATAGATTTGAACAAAGTTAGATGTATCAAGTATGAAGAAGGAAAAATTTTGGCTACAAATCAAGACATTAAAGACATAAGAAAACTATTTTTATATACATTTTAACGATTAGTAAAGAGCAATGAAAATATAGGACTAAAAACTCAAGTGGATGAACTAAATTTGACATGTTATTACAAAATTCGAGCTAAAGAAGTAAATGAAACTCTTAGGAGAATTGATAATGGTAAAAAATAAGTTTGATAGTATTCTTATTAAAGTTTGGAAATGTAAAGGAGAATGATGAATTGATTGGCTTACAAAGCTCTTTAAAGAGATTTTGAAATTTTAGAATATGTTATATGAGCAAAGGAAGAATGCTTTAGTTCTCATGTACAAGAATAAGGACAATATTCAGAATTAAAATTTTATCTTATTATTATGCAATAAGTTATCCTGTATGATAGTGAATGTTGAATTTTAAAACAGCAAGAGAAAAAAGGGAGTGTTGCATAAATAATGATTATGCACAGGAAATTAAAATAAAAAATGACATTATACCATGTCTCCAAGTTAGGTACATGGGATTGATTTTACAGTGTGATAGAGAAATTAATAAAGATGCTACTTTTAGAATGCATGTTGGGTGATTAAAATAGAAAAATATTTTAGAAATTATTGTAATTGTAAAGTACCTATTAAAGTAAAAGGAAAGTTCTATTATATTGTTATACAACCAACTATTTTATATGGTAATAAATGTTGGAATTTAGAATAGCATGAAAAAAAAATGAGAGTTGCAGAAATAAAAATATTAAGATGGATGAAGATTATATGAAAAAAAATAAAAATAAAAATGATTGTATACATAATAATATTGATGTAGCACTTATTGTAAAAAAGATGATAAAATTTGATTAAGATGATTTTAACATGTGCAAGAATGGCCACCGGAGACACTAACGAGAAGAATGAATGATATGATTTTAAGTTCAGTGAAAAAGAGTAAAGAGAGACTTTGAAAACTATAGAAAAGATTATTAGAAGAAATTTAATGATAAATAATATCTTAGAATTTGGTTTTTGATTGAATTCTTAGCATTGTGTGATGGAATGGAAAGAAAAGAATGTTTACATCATACAGTTCACACTACTAAATCAAAGTTTTAGGATCGCAACATGATGCTGTTATTGATATATAGCAGCTGAATGAATCTTTACTCTTCATGTGCTTTCAGGGACTACAAACGTGCTTGGTGGCTCTGTTATCATGGTAAGTCTTTTATCCTTGTTTTTTCTCATTGTTTGAATCTGTGGTGGTTGTTTTGAGCAAGATATCTTATGCTTTGAATAATCAATGTCAATCCACATAGATCATGCTTTGAATATAACATTATTATGAGTTAAATTGTGATTAACAAATTTGATTATTGTTGCTATAAATGGTAGTATGATAGCAAGGAGAATAGTTGATCTAGTTCATATACTTCTTCCTTGTAACTTTTTGAATAAGTTGACCTACAATTCCATAGACTAATTTGGCAACTGAATGTTATATTTCTTTGTCAACATCGCTAGAAAATGAATTTTATGTAACTAGCATGGGCAAGGTTTTCCCCCTTTCCTTTAATGTCAGCTTTCCAAGAAATCAATACTCTTAAAAAATGACTTCGGTGTGAAATTTGTGGCTGTTAACTAGAGGGTTTACTCTGTTAGATTCCCTTTGTAATGATATGAATTGACAGCAAAATGTTTATAGTTTCAGATGGTTTCAACATGCTGGACAATCATACGTGAAAATACCTTTCTTTGGTGCTGTATCATATCTTACGCTCGCTGTTACTCCCTTCTGCATAGTGTTTGCTGTGCTTTGGGGAGTTTATCGCCGTGTATCATTTGCTTGGATTGGTCAAGACATTCTTGTAAGAGTGGTCCTATTACCTTTACTATTTTTGTTGGTCAAATTTCTTATATAGTTTTTCTTCTGCCCATTTTCTTTTTCAACTGGTAGTTCTTGATTAAAAAATAGAAAATTGTAATACAATCATGAGCAATTCCCTTGTTGCATATTGCAGATTTTTCTTCATAACTATTGGAATCTTAATCGTGTAAAACTAAAAATGCTTTTAAATGAGTATGGAATATCTTCATCTAATTGTAATTGAAATGAGCAGTTAAGCATGCTTCGTCGTTGTTTTTGCGAATATAAAGATCCAGTAAGTAAATTACTCATTGCATTTGTATTATCTTCTACATATGAATTCATAAACCAAGGGAATTACTTTCTCTATTCGTTAACTGAAAGAGTAAAAGAAAAAATGATCAAATTCCTTATCTATACCTTTTATGCAATAAACTAGGCTATTAACAAAGACCGTTTCATTTCATATGAATTGTTAATGCTACATGGTTGTTAATTGTTCTTTGGCCAATTGGTAGCCATTATTTGTATTATTACAATGTTTTTTTTTTTTCATTATTGCTTCTTTTGACGCTTCCATACTTCCTCCAATTCTCTCTAATCACTTTAAAATTTGATTTAAGCCATGATGTTTGTTCCTTTTGGTATCGTTACAGCTAGAAAAAAGTTTTTCCATTTAGATTTTAAAGTAACCTTAACTTAGTTTGCTAAGTCCAATTGATTGAGAAACTATTCATGACATTTATTTTTTAAAAATATCTGTCGTTCAGGGTATCACGTTGATAATTACAGTTCTTCAGATTGTCCGCATTCCAAATCTCAAGGTAATCATTCATACTTAATTTTTTTTTTCATTGGAAAAGACAAGGGTGGCCTTCATATCAGTAAAACAATTTAATATGGATTTACTGTACATTGCTGAACTTTATTAACAAGACACTAATTTATACATTTTTGTCTGCAAGGTTGGAACTGTTCTTCTCAGTTGTGCCTTTCTATATGACATCTTCTGGGTGTTTGTCTCTAAATGGTGGTTCCACGAGAGTGTGATGATAGTGGTGAGTGCTTTCAACACGGATCTCCCTTCCCAATCATTCTTCACAAAGCATGTTTTTGATCTTGGTCAGCATGATGCTTTTCTTCTCATTAAATTAATACAACATTTTCACTTCTTTACAGGTAGCTCGAGGTGATAGGAGTGGAGAAGATGGTATCCCCATGCTACTCAAGATACCCCGTTTGTTTGATCCCTGGGGTGGTTACAGCATCATTGGTTTTGGTGACATCATCTTACCAGGGCTTCTAGTTGCATTTTCGTTAAGGTTGAGTAGAAAGTCATAACATAAATCTTCTATTCATCTTCCTTGTACTACTATAAAACACTAACTCCTATAAAAGCATCCTAGACAAATAATGCTTTCTGCCTTGATAATAGTTCATAAACTTTATTTTTTTTCACTGATAACTTTACAGGTATGATTGGTTGGCAAAGAAGAACCTTCGGGATGGATACTTCTTGTGGGCAATGACTGCTTATGGTTTAGGTATGCCATTTGATCTTGGGGTAGTTTCGTAAGATAGAACGTGTTAGCAGATTAATTTTCCATGAAAACGTTTGGACCTGTAAACTTTACAGCCAAAATTGGGGCAGCTCACTTTCAGGCTGAAGATGAGCCTGCTTAGTCTGAAAATGTTGAGGTGGCGACTACATGTTTTGGTCCTTTTCATCATATTTCTTGGATTTTGATCTGCAGGTCTCCTTATCACATATGTGGCTTTGAACTTGATGGATGGGCATGGTCAACCAGCTTTGCTTTATATAGTCCCCTTTACACTTGGTTAGTAAAATTACAAGACTCAAAACTCAATTAAATTTGAAACACAAACACTGATTAAAAAATAGTTGAACCTGTTCTATTTGCTGTTGAACTTGCTGAACCAATAGAAAGCTTAATCCATGTTTCTTACAACTTTTTCTTTATGCACTTACACGTTTCACCGCCTGTCATAGAGGCCTTCCATGCACCACTGTACCACGAGCCATATTTAGTTAAAGCATGAATGAAAACTAGTACCAGTTTTTGAAACCCTTTTTATGTGTTTGCAGGAACCTTTTTGTCATTGGGAAAGAAGAGAGGTGAACTCAGGATTTTATGGACAAGAGGGGAACCAAAAATTACCTGCCCTCACATCCAAGAGGATCAATCAACGAATCAGTAATCCTCAGCAGAATAGTATCCTAGGTGTTAGTTTACAGGAGACTTATAGCAAATCTTAGAAGATTATGTAACATCTGTAACTTTGTCATAACCAAATTTCAGCCAAGTGATATTTAGCATGTACTTAAATCAGCACTACTGAAAACCCCCGCAACAGTTAGATTTTGGAGGACCTGTGAAACTTTATTGTAAGATTCGATCCTTTTCTGAAATAGATGGTATGAGGTGAGGAGACTGAAGAGATTTCACTTCCTGGTTCTAGCTCCTGCCTTACAGACACTGTTTTTTATGCTTATCTTTAAGGAGTTTGCTTCCATGAGGGTCCGGCCAAAATGATGTCTATGTCAAGCAGAGATGATGATGCTGATGATGATGATTATTTGATACATATAAACTAATTGTGAATAGAAGTCGGCTAAATTTTATTTTCTGTATTCTATGTCATGAATTATCAATGTATCACATGCAAGCAATTCTGAATCAGCTCAATTTTCACCAGCAGCTTTAATTCCAACTGGATAGTAGTAACACAAAGCACCTCCAAATGATCCATATAAAGGACATCCAAAATTAGGTTATTTAGGCAAGGGAAATTTGAGGAAATAGAAAAGTTATTATTATCTATGTATCAGGATTAACCTCAAGGTCCAAAGATATGGATATTTCATTTCTGCCCTCCAATCTTTTTTACATTAATTTCAACCACTATCAATGTAATCTTTTACACTGTTACTCAATAATGCACTGATACACCACCTGGAGAGTGATTACAATAATATCTTCAAAATGACAGGTCTTCGATAATTTGTTAACACAAGATGGAGTAATAGTATCCAAAAACTTAATGCCTTTTAATTTCTTTTTGTTTCACTTAAAACTGAAGGAACAAATGAGCCTTTATATTAGAACCCATAAAAGGAACAAAACAAAAGAAAAGGCACAAGACAAATATATTCCATACAAGCTCAGAGAACCTTTTTCTTATTTATTTCCTGTAAGTACAAGAGAAAGCGCCCAGCATCAAATAGCGCAAGGGCTAAACACCAACAATGAACCACAAAGAATAAAATTGAACAGTAAATGGGGGAAAAGAAAACAACTGACATGCAACAGTTTTCTAGCGCTTGTCAGCATCTCTCAAAATTGTTCAAGCCATTGGCCATCTTGGTGGGCTTGTAATCTTGTATGGATTCATTTCAAATCTGAGTCCAATCCTGTACATAGAAAGATTTATTGCGTGTCAGATGACAGAACAAAAATGACTGAAAATTGAATGAAATGCTGTCAGTTTGAGCATGTTATATAAAAAATAGGGAAACCATAATCACATGAAGGCGATTATTACTAAATTGCATACTGAATATATTCGAGAATCACCAACTCACAGATTACCAAATTCATCATGCCAAGTTAAGAGGTAAGATTACAAGACAAGTTTCTTCAGCAATAATAACATCATGTTTCTACAAGTTGATAGTATAAGGTAAGATGGAATTTTCACTTAGCAAAGCAGATATTTTAACAGATTAACTTGTATAAAATAAATAACAAAAAGAAGCAAATTTGAATAAACAATAAAAGGAAAACATGTCATCAGCTAACTCCAGCAGCAGCAGGAAACTAGAATGAAGAATTAGTTTTAAAAGGAAGGGAATAGAATGCCAATAATATCTATTATACAAAAAAGTTTTTCAGTTACTACATAAAGTGGAGAGAGGATTTTAGAAAAAATGTGAGTTCAGCAAATAAGGATATGATGAATAAGTAAAATCACTGAAAATACGGGAAAAGGCATACGAGAATTTGGCCTTAGAAAACCATTTCCATTGGGAGTAAAATGCATTATCTTCCTTTCTTGCATCCTCTCAGTTACTACATAAAGTGGAGAGAGGATTTTAGAAAAATTGTAAGTTCAGCAAACAAGGATATGATGAATAAGTAAAATCACTGAAAACCCGGAAAACGCATACGAGAATTTGGCCTTAGAAAACCATTTCCATTGGGAGTAAAATGCATTATCTTCCTTTCTTGCATCCTTTCTGGCCAGACAGAATTCAACCGACGTGCAAAATCTTCTACTTCCCTGTGTCAAAGGGTACCAAGCATATAAGATTTCTTATTTGTCATCTTAAAGGCACATGTATATAACCATCACTCAAACATCTCTTTATATCAAATTGATATTTTTTTTATCCATAATGAACAAGGAAAAACAACGCAGAAGACAATTAACAAGTGCCATGAAAGCATTTGGGGTTAGCTAAAAATCAGCAAGTGTAAGGTAGTTAGAAGCCACAGGCTTTTGATTCCTTGTAAACCACTAAGAGCGAGTGTGTGTAATGAACTTGGGAAATATAGTAGAACCAAAATTAAAGGGGCAATTCAGCAATCATCATAATAGTGCCAAAGACATAACGGAAAAAACAAAAACGTAGAATTAGTCGTCATTAAAGCAAGTCAGAATCAGAAAACCTTATACCGATATGTATATTGACTGATGTCAGAATGTCCATAAGTATTAGGTTAAAATTTTTCTAGAATATAGGCACACAAGCACACCAGATCAAAACCAATTGCATTACCCATCCAAGAGTTTTACAAGATTCAGGATCATGAAAAATCTATAGCTAGGTTGATATGGGATACAAATATTAGTAAACTTATCATTCTCCTTAGAAAAAGACCAAGATAAAAAACTTGCAAAGTCCAAATCCAACCAAATTTAAATCAACATTGTCATGTCTCCCTCTCTGGTAAACAAAAGATCGCGCATATACAACCAGCAATAGATGATTCAAACAGTACAATTTGGAGATGTATAGATTCAATCATTCTGATGCCTTGTCCTTTGCATAAGCTATACTCCATATATAATATATTCAGCAACGCTACTCATCACTAATGAGAAGAAAAGCTAGGGATCTGCCACTGCAACTATGCTAAAGATAATGATAGCCATCCACAAAAAAAAAGAAAAGATTTTAGACAACAATTGTGTAAACAATATAATTAGTGTGTATTTGGTTCAACTTATTTGGAGGAATAATTTTTTTATAGAATGTGGCCCCACCTGTCAATTTTTTCCTTTAGTGCAGGATCAATTCCATCATCTATATCTCCATCATCGAACACCTTATGATCAAAAGTGTCTTCTGCATGTGAATTTGAGGCCTCAGCAATTCTATCAGCCTCAGCACTTTGGTGTCTTATATTTTCACCATTTACTTCCTACAGTGAGATTAAAAAAGGCCAATAAACACCTACAATTTATGTGATAAATAATTGATTTTGTTCATTTAAAAACAAACCAGCAGAACAGAATATTTACAACCTTCTCTTCCACTTCAGAAGCTTCCTTCAAAGAAGAGCTCTTCTGTTGTTGCTCTTTTTTCCTTCTGTTCTTCTTTTTACTTTTGGAAGTTTTAATCCCCTTTGGATCTGTGACAGAATTCTTCACTATTAATTGTGCATTCAAAGGGATTAAACAAGAAAATAAATTTAAAAAGATTCAGCTCTCTAATTATTCCTACACAAAAAGATTATAAAACAGTTCTAAAATGAAACAAGTAAAAGCTGCAAGGGACATGAGCAACAAATATTTTCAAAAACCACACAAGTCCTTCCAATAAGTAAAAATGGAGTAGAAAAACTTACAAAAGAAATTATCTTTATGATTTAGAGTTTTATCTATGATTTAGAGTTTTATCTTTTTCTTGTATTTTGGGATTTTACGTGTATCTAGTTGGTATAGCCCCTATTAAAACCTTGAAAAAAAAAAACTGTCTACTGAATAATATTAAGATTTCTGTTCACACTTCCCGGAGTATGTAGATTCATGTTGGAGGAAGACTCTGCTGTAGAGGAATATTCTAGGAGACATGGTAGTCAATCGCAAGTTAACGATCTGCCACAGGTCCAACGATCCTGATCCTGGGCTGGGACTCATTTTGGTGGGATTGTTGGGATCGCACAATCTTCCTCATGAAATTGTGCGATCCTGGGCGAGTTGCTTCTGCCTTGTTTTTTTTAAAAAAAAAACCCAATTAACCCGGACTTCGTGACTTCGTTTCTCTGCTCTGCAATCCCTTTAGCTTTCGCTCTGGTGACTGTGTCTGCTCTGGCAACCTTGTCTGTGCCAGCAACCTTGCTCTGCGACCTTGTCATAGCAAAGCATTTTGCTGTGGTGGCTATCGCAGCTGTATTTGCAGCCATCTAAGCCTAATTCACAGTGCAACAGTACCGCTAGAGTAAAAGTTGTCAACTTTCCCTTTCTATCTCCAGAATGAAGCAGATTTTAGGATTTTTTAAGGGTAAAAAAGACTTCTTATCTTTTAAAAATAATCTGACTTTTCCTTTTTGCCCTTAAAGTGACTTTGTTTTAAGTTTCTTTAAGGATAAAATAATCTTTCCATCAGAATACATTACTTAATCCATCTTTTCCCTCTCTGTCTCTGTTTTTAGTGTCTCTATTTTGAGATGGGGTGGCTCTCTTCCCTCATTTGTCTTTGTTTAGCTTCTCTAGTCTTTGTATTTATACTATTTTACATTCATTTATACAATTTTTTAGGATCTTACGATTCGTTTTATGATCCTACAAGTTATGATCTTTCATCTACTCTCCAATCCTAAGTAGAATCTCGATTTTGACTACCATGCTAGGGGATACTCTTGGATTTCTCCTGTTCCCCGTCAGTTCATCAGACAGATTTTCATTTTTTAATATTATACTTTTTTTGGCTCTACAAAATCCTCTCTTCCCTCTTCCTCTCTAATAGATAAATGGCTTCTTTGTTCACTTGCCTCCCTCTAACCATTTCAGCAAATCTAAGGAGCTGGTAAGAAAAGTGATTGACACAGGTCATTTGCAGATTCCCAAATACTTCTGTTCTGTGAATTCAAAACAGACCCTAAAATCTCAGTTGAGTTTAACGCTGCATATATGGGCAAGCAATCAGTGTTAATATCTTGACACTGCCATGATTTTTAGTTTTTGATAACAAATGCAAAATCAGGTAAATATAAATATAAAACCACCCAATGAATGATTGTATGACTAAAAGATTTCATCTATGCTGATTTTTCTTCCAACAAATGCTAGTGATATATAATGGTAAACAGATATTAGCACAAAGTTTGAGGAGACTATGGATAATTTAGCTACTGCAAATGGTTTACTCAATTTTAGAAACACCGTCATCTTTAATTATGGACAACCAATGCTTGACAGTTACCCTGTGTGTCTATACTAGATGGTCAAAGGAACTAAGTAATAATAATTTTGATATTAGTGATCATGGACACAAATCAACTGGTAGGCTCATCATGTAGGTTCAGAAGAAGTGAAGAACAGTTTTGTGTAGTCCAAAGGTAATATTAAACAGACAGACTTCAATTAGGGATGGGTAGATAGTTGGTACAGGTACATACTTTCTCAATCTACAGAAAAGAAAAGCGGAAAGTAAACTCAATGAAAGCAGGGATAAAACTGTACCTCCATTATTTCCATTAATAAAAGACAAAAGGTCATCAACTGAACGTTCATCTACATGCTCTTCTTCAACTTCAACATTCTGAAACATGCAAGGGACCAATTCTTATTCAATTCAACACTCTACAAGAGATGCAGGAAAACATCTCTCAGTAGCAAAAGTTCAATTTATTTAGAAATATCTAATTACAGAATAAGGACTATATTTAAACAATGTGACTTATATCTGTAATATGATAAAAATAAAGAAACTGCACTGTGGCACCTTTAACCTCCCGCGCTCTTGTAGTTCTTTCCTCTTTTTGGCATACAAACGGTTCAAAAGCCTGATCCTTGGGTCGTCAGTTGTGTTTTTCAAGGGCTCCAATTTCTCTTCCTGGATCGAAAGGGTGTTAACAATGAAAATTGAAAATGAATGAAGAAATAATCAGCATACAGTGTTCTCACAAGCACCAGACACCTCAGTAAGATCATCAGGCAGATGAAATATCTCACGTATCTCCTCTGGAGATTTTCCTTCAATTATTCGAGCAAGTGCTCGACTCATAAGATCAACCAGTGGCTTCAACTGAAGGCTGTCTGCAGCAGATGTCAACTCACAGAGCCGCTTTGTGTCCATCCTAATGAATTTCTCATCAAAAGACTTCCGTTCCTATACAAAGAATAACCCCCAAATGAAATCAATTTTTATGTTTATTGTTGTTTCAGCCTCAAAGTATATTGTATAAAGATAATAACAATGTCAAAATGTTCAAGAAAGAGGTAGAACCTTGTTTGAGTGACCTGGTACTTGATGAAAGCGACAATAATCAAGGATTAAGCTCAACATCGCAGGACTGACTCGTTGAGGAAGAGATATTGCACAATTCTTGGAAGATCCTAAGCCTGTTTGTATTATTTCTTGACAAATCAGAGGGCAAAACATTGCAATTTCTTGTTCCACTTGTTGGATTGAACCATCTGAAGTCTGAAGCCAGATATAGGGCTTCATCATCTGAAATACAAATGTAAGAGGATAAGAAATACTAAAAAATAGAGGATGTACAGGGGGAAAAACATTAGAAACAAGATCAAGAACATTCAACAAAGCATGCAATCTGTCAACAGATACATCAAAGATGCTACTCTGAAAAGCAAGGTTATAAAAATGGGATTCAAATTGTGAATCAAAAGGTCTATTTCTGAATTGCAAATCGAACTGTATCATGAATCATAAGATTCAATGATCAATAACAAAAAATAACATATATAGTTAACAAAGACATATAAAGGCATAAATTCATGTTCAATAACTAAAGGACATGAATTTATTTGGATCATTGTAACATAAGAGAAGCATACATAGAACGCGTTGCACACACACATATATAGTAACAACAATTTCCACTAATCAACCACTGAAACATATAGCACAGAATGTATCCTTTATGACTAAAGATTAAGGGAATAAGTTTCAGTGTCATGACTACCAAAAGAAATAAAAGAGAAAAAGAAAATCAAAACAGTACAACTTAATTAGCTAAGATTATAACCACTGGACAATATGGATTAAAAAACAACATTTATACTGAAAAGTATCATACCTCAGGTTTAACAACTGCCATGTCAATTTCTGACATCTTAAACCAATGTGAAAAGTAAAATCAGTTGATATTGGAAGTTTCTTTGTGATGCAAACAATATTAGCTAAGGTGGAAATTTAGCTTTCAAGTCCAGACAAACAGATTATACATCTTATAAAAGGACTTCTGCAATCAGGATTAGAAGCTCCAACCTCCAGCAACATTTCTCAAATAACTGTTCATGAAAGCGTTTGCAGTGAAACAAAAATCTCTATACCACAAAGCAAAACAGGCATAAACTTGCAAAAGAGAAGAATGGAGAATAATCCAGCACCCTCCAAGTTCAAGTGACAACTGTAGAAAACAGAACAAGAAGTCACCATGAGTAGCAAATGCCATTAAAGAAATGAATGGTAAGAAAATGTATACTAGTACTACTACAAAATTAATGATGACAACATACTGAGTTGCTGTGATTCTATATACTCTACATATAATGATCACAACAAAGTGCTACAAATGGTAACTTATCTCAAGCAGCTTACATCTAAGGCAGCTTATACACACACAGACAGAGATAGAAAGAGGCACTTATTGCTATTAAAGTCTATATGATTATATCTACATAAACTTAACAGCATTTCTTTACATAAATGCATAGTAGTCAATTCCAAATAGCGGCATAGAGTAACCAACTCCAAAAATGCTATAGCAGGATGCTACTATTTTGAAGTTTCAACATACACTTAACATAGTTTATACTACACACACATATTGCTGAAAAAAAAAAAACCAAATTAAAGGCATTCATGATTATTGATCAAAATTTAAAGTGAGAACTTAATACATATGTCAAACATGCCGGAAAATGCCACAAAGATAGTTGGAGGCCAGAGAGCTATTAGGCACACAAAAACAAACCCCAAGCTTCGTGGTAGTAAATGGAGGGCAAAAAGGGAAATTTCCCTAATGCAGGTGATAGAACCACAGCACTTCAAAGTGGAAAACTCCTTATCTCCAAAATATAACCACAGCACTTGCAGCAATTCTCAAACAGCAACTTCTCATAAAAGTATTTTAAAACACTCTAACAAGATAGCCTTAAATTTATATGACCAATATTTTGCCGTTACTTGTTTAAAATTTATACATAGACTTAGAAGCACAAATCTTGTTTTCCCTTTTCAAAACACACATCATTGCTGCTCTCAAGAACCAAACTTTCTTTTCGCTCAGCACATCCAATTACACTACATTAATTCAGACACATGAGAAAGAGAAAGAGAGTAAACAAATAAACTTGTGTATAACCGAGTGACTTTTATGTTTTATTACTCAGAAATGAAAGGAAAACATAGAAAATTATTCAGCGTTGCTTGTTGACCAATCATGAAGTAAACAGAAGCGCTTGTTGGCCATCCCAAATAGTAATTGAAGAGCAAACAAAAACATTTTATTTCATCATTTATGCCGCAAGCAAAATAAAAAAGAACCCAAGAAAAATAAGAGTTAAAGAAACGTTCTCGGCAAGTAAAACAGACATTTTGAAGACAACCCACGATTCTTAGCATCGAACTAAGGTTAAAGAAACACTAAGATGTGGCAAAAAGAAAATGGTATAGATTTTATTTCTAGCATTAAAATAGATGAAGCGAATCCATGCGTTGAGAGAGAGAGAGAGAGATGAGTACCTGAGAACGCAGAGAAGAAAGGTAATTGCTTTAAAATGGAGGGAATTGGCGGTTGTCGGCGATGAACAGAAATGGATAGAGAGAAAGAAACAGAGAGAGAGAGAGAGAGAGAGAGAGAGAGAGAGAGAGAGAGAGAGAGCGAAGAGATTTTGATTTCGATGAAAAAAAATTCACCAAAGGGGAAAAGGGGAGTTTTTATTTTCTAAATTTTCAGAGGTGGGGGGTATTAAACGACGCCGTATAGAGCCGTTTAGGTTTCCCCCCTTCGATTTTGAGTTATGGGCTCAACATTTGCATTTTCTTTGGATGGAAATGCTTTTAAAAAGGAAAACAAATTAAGAGAAACGATTCTGTGTGAAAATATATTTTTTACTTTTATAGGAAGGAAGGGAAATGTAAGGGTGGGCCCTACAAATTTTTCTATTCTAAATAAGCAGTTCATTAATGAGAGTTCAATTTATTATTATTTTTAAATAGTATTAGCTGTACTTTTACTTTTTTATTTAATTTATGTGCAATCTTGATTTTATATTTTTTTATATTTATTATTTATAATTTTAAAATTATTTAAATTAAATCTTTTGTCCAAAAATGCATTTAATTATTAATAAAAATGTGCTAAATTATTAATCTATATAAATTAATACAAAAAATATATATACCATTTAAATAAAAACATTAAATGAAATATAATATAAACATTTTTATTAAATCATTTTTAATATTTTTATAAATTAATAGATTAATTTCTTAACTCCCATGTTTATTTCAACTTTTTGACCAGTAACTTCTTTTTCATATAAGTCTTTTTATATAATTTAAAACATAAAACTAAAAATACAATTAATTTTTAAAATAATATAAAAACAAGTTAAATATAAAAAATTTATATTAAAATATTTTCATTTTTTATTATATTTAATTTATTATTATTATTATAAGTATATTTTTATATACAGTTTATTTGTTTATTTCTACTCATTCAAATAAATAGAAAAAAAAAAAAGCATTTGTACTCATATAAATAATACAATTGTTTATTTTGTTTTTTTTATCCTCCTGGATTTTATTTTATATTTCATACAAACATTTCTTTAAATTAAGCTAAATACTAAATTGCATTATTAAACTCAAATTAGAATAACTTGTTTGATTGGTTGTTTAATAAATCGGTCAAGTGATTAACTAATCAAATCTGATGCATTTAAATAAACGTGAATCATAATAATTCAGTCAATTTGACTTAGCTATTTGACCTAATCATATCAAAGCTTAAATTTTTATTTTACAGGTAATGGTTTAAAGGAGACAAGTTAATATGTAATATTTGCTTATGTTTGATAGAGATGAGTTGAGTTTTAAGATTTATACGTTGACATATTTAACTTGCAATTTAAAATAGGTTGGGAATTTGGGATGGTTGAAATTGAACTCATCTGGATTCTTAAATGAATTTATAAAACTATTTTCTTTAATGAGAAATAATTATTTTATAATTTTGATCTATTATTGATAATTAAATTTATCATATTCAAGTATGAGGCTTTAATTTTATTTTAGACAAAAATAGTGTTTTTATTGTCTAAATTAAAGGTCAAATTTGATTTATTCATTTAATTTTATTTTTACTTATTTTGATCTTTTAACTTTTAAAAATATTTTAAATAAGTATTTTTCTGTAAAAATTCTATCACATATGTTGTTTATTGTTTTTCTTCAAGCTTCTATGCATTATTCATGGATCTTTAGTTTTACTTATTCCTACCTTTTTATCTTCCTCTCTACTATTTTTGGTAAGACCAGTATGACCTAACCAAAGGAATTAGATAAGTAAACCCACAAAATCATCCAAAAATAAGGATGAATTGTTATTTTCAATTTTTTCCCAAAATAAAATAAATCCAGTCAACCCATTTTTTCAACAAAGCTATAATGACATGCGTATAAATCAACCTATTTTGTTGTCCTAATTTCAAATGCTAACCACAATCCTAAAAAAAAAATTAAAATTAAAATTTACTCATCATTTATCAAAAGAGTTGTGTTATAGATTTGATTAGCATAAATTTTTGGTTTAAACATATTAAATGAGTTCAAGTTGCTAGTAAAATTTATCCTTAATTCCAAATTAAATCAAATCAATTAAATCTATATTAATTCAAGTTAGTTCACTGGATTACACAAGTATCTAAAAATTTTAAAACAATTTAAAAAAAATAAAGGATTTTTTAAAAAATGCTTAGAACAGTTAGCTTTACATTTAAAATACATTAATCCTAATCTCATTCGAATCAATCAAGTTTTAAAATTACAATCATCACACTCTATTTGCGAGTGGCTTTTGTTCATTGATTTCTTCACTAAATTATCATTGGTCATTTCTTCAATTCTTAAACTTAAAAACATAACAAAATATAATGAGTTGTTGGAGGATTAAAATTTGCATTCATATGTCATATTAAAGATGAACTGCATTGTTTTCTTGGTTGGAGAGAGCATTGGTCTTCACATGCTTAGAAAATAAATGCAACCTTCTCACTTTTAACTATGGGATGAATATCAACATATCATATTTAAGGCATAAAAGTATGAACATGTTGCCATTTAATATTTTATATACATTTTATTTTATTTTTCCTTCAAATTTAAATTTTTTTTTCTTCTTATCAACTTAAAACATTAAAATTATATGCCTTGGTTCTAAATGTTTTTTTTTTATAATAGTTTTATTGGTTATATTTTTTTCTTCAATTTATTCTCATATGATAAGTTTTTCTTTATTATCAATAATAAATATATTTTATGTGACACTTTATTAAATTATATTTTTCTTATTATTTAAAAAACAAGACGAAATTTTAGTCAACAATAAAACTATTTTAAAGAGTATATTGTTGAAATTTTCTTTGACTCATGGTTTTTTTTTGTATGCGAATGCAAATATAACAAATTTTCAATTTCTATTATGTTCTTCTTTTAAATACAAATCATTCAAAATTGAAAAAGCACTCGCACTCTTTCTTATAGATAACATTAAAAAAAGAGGTTAAAAGAAAGTTTCAAGAAGCTTCAAAAATAATAACTTTTGCCGTTCTAATTAAACCTATGTATTTGTCTTAAAACTAGTCTCTGTTTGGAGAAACACATGGACCCAAGGAAAAGAAAATGACAAAACACTTTTAACGTTCCACTAGCAGCCACGTGTCAAAAGCAGAATATTCCACGCATGAATCTCAGAACATAGTAGCATCACTTTAATATTATATTTAAAATCTTGAAAAACCTAAAATTTGGAAAACCACTAATATAAATAAATTATTTTTTTGCACTTTTAGGGCTGGGACAAGTTGAGAGGAGGTTTTCATATTTTCGAAATACCCGTAATAACCCTATATTTACTTCCTATTAACGACTCAACCTCACTAGGGCATAGGTAACTAAAGGGGCATTTGAATAATTTTGTGTACAGTGACATTTTCTCTTATGGATGACGTGCCACGTGTAACACTCTCAACCCCCCTTTCTCTTGTTTGTATTGCCACTGGATTTTCTTATTTTAATTTTATCCAAAATCAAATTCTCAAAAAATAAAAATAAAAATTATGAAGAATGATTATTTTATTGAACAAAAAATAAGAATATAATAGTCATTTCCTTTTTTAAAATGTTACTTAAGAAAAACAAGTTCTATTCTATGCTTTGCTTATCCAGTGAGTGAGAAAGAACAAAGCTGAGCGAGAGAGATTTTCATGAATAACAAGAAATTATTTGGTTGAATTTGAATTGGGTTGTTGTGCTGTGACATGGTGTAAGACCCTTCTCACCTTTAAGTTTTCACTGTCATAGCTCCTCAGTTGCATTATCAATACACCACCAATGGCTTTCGGTGGTTTGGTTTCCAGTAGAAACTTCACTTCTTTTATTGGCCCAGGTTCATCTTTCTCAACCACAGTTAACTTTCACTCGTCTAATTCTATTTTTTTGTATATATATATATATTTTCAAAATTTTTAGGTGGCTACCTGTATGTTATGAAGTTAATTATCTACTCCTTGTATGTAATTTACATTCATTTTGCTTTCAAGCTTGCTTTTTGTGATAGAATGTGATTTTCATTGTTAGTACTGTTTTTGGTATTGTTGAAACTTATTTAGTGCAGAATTCAGTCTAATCTTCAGGTTGAGTTGTTGATAGTATAGCCAAATGTTCAAGGTAGATATACTTTTATTGATTTTATGGAGTTCCTTGATGATTTTATCGTACAAAAGTCAAAACAAAATTTCCCTCAATCTTTTTATAGCTAGGGGAGCAACTTGCGGAATGATGATGACCCTTTTATATTCTGTGCCAACATTTGCTTAAAGCTTATAGGATTGAGAGAAGCATGGAATTTTTATGTTGTATTTTATTTTGATGAGAGAATTAGAGATTATTCAGCAATACATGGAAATTATGGTAAGGCTGGTTATTGTGTGTATGAATTGGGTTGGATTTGCTCCTCTTGAAACCCTCTAATTTTTTCATGTAGATAGAGTGTACTGTAGACTATGAACAAGTTTTATGTTTGATATTGGCAGGAAATGTATATCAGTTAGAAAGGGATCTATCACTTCAAAGAGGGGGCATTTCTGGTGTATTTGTTGCTCGTTATGGTGGCCAGATTGCAAAAGATCCTTTTTTAAGATGCCGCGGTGGGATGTGTATTCATACTAAAGCAATTTCAAATGAGAAAGTTTCAAAGCCAATTATTGCATTTCATGAGGAAGTGCAGCATTATTCTCTAGTATCCCAGAAATCCATTCACTGCCTGAACATGAAACTAAAGGCCAGAAGATGTCAATGCTACCTATCTTCAGATTCCAATAGCAGTAGCCATATTGGACAAAAAGCAGCATATGGACTTGGACCACTTGGTAAGGCGAATTTGGCTCGTGTTCGTTACAAGTCTGAGGAATATGATACTGCTGAAACAAAGATGGATCCTCTGGCATCAACAGAAGGGACAGGTGAAGCCATTCTACTGGAAGGAAATGTTCCACAAGTGTCTTCTTGGTGGAAGCATTTTCCTAAGCGCTGGGTTATTGTATTGCTATGCTTTGCAGCATTTCTGCTGTGCAATATGGACCGTGTGAGTATCTTATTTTGACATTCACTGTCTAAATTACTATATAGTCATATTTAAGATGTCTCACATTCCCAATATGTACATTCCTTCATATTTCATTGATTGGCATTGCAGGATCTCTACTACTTTCAATATTTTACTACTTTTTCCTGCAGTTGTTATAATGCTTTCTCCTCCAATTAAGATTTGGATCCTCTTACTAACAAGACAATATCATGTTTTGAGAAAGAAAGACACAAAAAACAAAATCAGTAGGTCCTACCTTAATTGCTTGTGTCTTTGTATCTTATGACATTGTCATGTTAGTATGTAATGCAAGATGATTAATCATTTAATATTTAGTTGTGTGTTTTTTCAATTGCATATTCTTGATAACTCAGTGTGAATTACTAATGTTCCTTCTTATATGCTTTACATGTCCATTATAATATATAGGTAAATATGAGCATAGCAATACTTCCAATGTCACAAGAATTTAACTGGAACACCGCAACAGTTGGCCTAATTCAGTCATCTTTTTTCTGGGGTTATCTACTTACTCAGGTGTGATTGCTATAACCGCTACCCTGAAAATATTAGCCTAATGAGAACTCAATCTCACATGTTTATCTTCTAGTATTCGTTAGCGTACTGGTGCTAGTTGAACCTAGCATAACATTTTTATTTTCTTTAGCATGTGCTAGCATGTTCGGATCCTCAACTATCTTTTTCATAGGTGCATACTGACTTTTATGTAATGTTTTGTTTTTTGGCTTTAGATCCTTGGTGGAATATGGGCAGACAAACTTGGTGGGAAGCTAGTGCTAGGGTTTGGAGTTGTCTGGTGGTCGATGGCAACAATTTTAACACCTATTGCTGCGAGGATTGGGCTCCCTTGTTTGCTTATTATGCGTGCCTTTATGGGGATTGGTGAGGTTGGTCCATTATATGTCTGTACTATTTCTATGGCGTTATCAACCTTGTTTCAGTAACTAAGTTCATACAGTCACTTATCCACTTTTCTATTGTTGTGCAAAACCAATTATCATCTTCAATATAAAACTTTTGGGAGATAAGATTCCTTGCAACTATCTATCTAGTAAGCCAGAAGACAAACTTAGACAATCTTCTTTAAAAGAGACAAGGAAAGTGTTGCATTGCACAGTAGACATAATCCATCCTACATAGGCAAAAATACCGTAATAATTTATACTCCCCAAATCCCAAAATTAAGCTATTTGCCAAATAATACAATCAAATGGATGATTTTTTGACATATAAATGATCATATGTTTTAAATCCATGTGGGTATAGACATGAAGAATATTAGTCTTATGATTTAGCACCAAATTATGCTAATTTTTTGTTTTCAGGGTGTTGCCATGCCTGCGATGAATAATATACTTTCAAAGTGGATTCCAGTTTCAGAGAGAAGCAGATCACTTGCCCTTGTATATAGTGGCATGTACCTTGGTTCTGTGGTCGGCTTAGCATTCTCACCGGTGCTAATCCATAGTTTTGGGTGGCCATCAGTGTTTTACTCATTTGGATCTCTTGGAAGTATTTGGTTTGCCCTATGGTTGAGAAAAGTAAGTCAGATTTCTCTTATTTTCATTGAAATCTATTCATGGATCTTTTCGTGATGGAAAAATATTTTGAGAGGAGGAAACCAAACATCTTCTCCCTGGCAATTCATGTTTGTGCTGATCAATCAAGGGAAAATATCAAAATCATTGCATAGTGTATGACTTCAATTTCATAAGTATGCAAGCTTATTTTCAAGAATTAATGATTCATAGACTGGATGCACAGTGTTTCTGAAATTTTATTTTGGTAGAAAAACCTTATCATTGTTCATATAGCATTTCTGAACGGGAGGGTCACTCCTCACTTCCTGCTTGGGAAGATGACTCATTTCCTTTACTCTGTTGGGTTCTTCCAGGCATATAGCTCTCCAAAAGATGATCCAGATCTTGGGGTAGAGGAGAAAAGGCTCATACTTGAAGGCAGTGCATCAAATGCACCTGTTTCTTTCATCCCTTGGAAATTAATTTTATCAAAAGCACCTGTATGGGCTCTTATAATCTCCCACTTCTGTCACAATTGGGGGACATTTATTCTTTTAACCTGGATGCCTACCTACTACAATCAGGTATTAACCTTGTTTTAATAATATATTAACAGTATACATAATATGCTTTTCATAATACACATCTTAACAACACTTCCATAGTTGCACATGTATCTTTGCAATAAACTCATAAGAGTACATTTACATTTCCCCATTTAATCTATTGAATGAATAAACTAATGGATCAATTTCTCAGGTTCTGAAGTTCAACCTCACTGAATCTGGGCTCTTATGTGTTCTTCCATGGTTAACCATGGCTGCTTTTGCAAATATTGGTGGGTGGATTGCTGACACACTAGTGAGAAAAGGTCTTTCCATAACAGCTGTTCGAAAGGCAAGAAAATCAATACTCTTGTAACTGAAATTTTATCATGCATGACCAATGGATTACAGATGAATTTTCTTAATGGAATGTCCTTTTCCTCAAATAATAGTACCGGCACATTCATATCGTGCTCAATATAAGGAAATATTTTGCATTTATTTCACTCTTCAAAAGGATTCTGCTTTTAATATTTCTGAGTTTGCAGATTATGCAATCAATCGGGTTTTTGGGTCCTGCCTTTTTTCTTACACAGCTGAGCCATGTCAGAACACCCGCCATGGCTGTACTATGCATGGCGTGCAGTCAGGTTTGAGCTAGATCAATATATATATTTTGAGTTTGAATTTCCTTTAATCTTGAATTTTTTATGCTGTAAGTTTTAATTGATTATGAACCATTCCATTAGTACCTCTACATCATGTTTACATATAGGTTTGAAATATATAGAGTCATCTAATTTAAACCATAATTTATTATTTTCTTGACAGGGATCTGATGCATTCTCACAATCTGGTCTGTATTCCAATCACCAAGATATTGGACCACGCTATGCTGTGAGTCATTGCTTTCCTAATTAACATGCACTAGGACCAATAGAAGTGTTCAATACTGATAGTAAAGAGAATGTTGGATATCACCAAAATAATCTTACCTAAAAACTACAATACACTTGGCTTGAGTTATTCTTCTTGACACTCCTACAAACACACATCAATACGTCTATGTCAAAATATTCATGCGTTTCAATTTCAGGGTGTATTGCTGGGACTATCAAATACTGCAGGAGTGCTTGCTGGTGTTTTTGGTACAGCTGCGACTGGATACATACTCCAACGAGGTTTGAGAGTTCTCCACTTTCATTTTGGTTTACTCTTTTTTGCAACTTTTGTCTTGGTTTTCACTTACATGTGATCTTTCATGGCAGGTTCTTGGAATGATGTTTTTAAGGTTGCTGTTGCATTGTACATAATAGGCACATTGGTCTGGAATATCTTTTCAACTGGGGAGAAAGTTCTTGACTGAAGAAGATGACATGTCAAGGAAGGTTGTAGCCTATATAGCCATGGAAATATAGAAACAGATGGAACACCAAACAGATGACCCAACAAGTCTTGGAAGATTAAACCCTCAAGAAGTACAAAAAAAGAGACACCATGGAAGTTTTCACCTAAAACCATGGCTTTTTTTTCTCTATATTCTCCTAGAAATCTTGGATTAACTTCAGACATACTTCTCTAAAGTGAGTTTGTCTCTAAAGTAAATAAGTAAAGGTGTATCTACCTTAACATTTTAGTTAGTTAAGATTAAAATACACTTTAAATTAATATTAGATACACTCTTACTTTAGGGCCAAACTCAATTTACAGGAGCTTTTTTCCCCTTTTGTGCACCTCTAGAACATGAACTCCAGTACTTTCTGTATATAAAGTCTGTGGGGGAATGTCCACCTGTAAAACTTTATCTAAGGCACACACAAGCTTAATATACATGTTATTTGAGTAACTTTGTCTCATGATACCTAGATGGGAATTAAGTTACCCAGTTTTTTTTATTAGAACTCTATAACAAGAACATTCGATTTTTGCCATTTCCTTTTGTTCTGTATTTTTAAAATTAGATCAGTTATTGAACTAACGAAAATACTAGTTGGTGATTTAGTAATCTAATCATCTTTGACTTGTAATTGAACTGTTTTAATCGTATATAACTTATTAAATAATAAATTAACATTATGATAAAATAATGTTTTCATAATCATATACAACAATATCTTAAAGCTTAACCACTGATAGAACATTTTTATTGGTCACATTACAATAACTTAAAACATATATTAACATTATCGATCTAATATTTATTGACAAAAATATGTTAATAACTGACTTGTTTAGCGGTCTGACACTAATTTTCTCAATTTACATTCTATTTGTCAGGAACGTGGAATCGATTCCATGGGAAGCAAAATTTATCTCCTACCACGCGTGTAACATGCTTCATATTTCGTGCATCATACATTTTAAACCATTGATCACTATAGTTTTGATCACTTAAAGTCAAAACAAACATCCACTTTAATGACTTGAACTGACTAGTAGATGTTTTGGTTCAACCATGAACCGGTTTTACTGATAGGTTCAGTCTAGTTTTCCCAACATAGGTTCTACGTGTGCATATATTCCGTTGTCATGCATGTAAATGCATCCCAGAATTTTCCCACAGATAAACTTCCCAATTAAGAGCTTGTTTGGATCAACGTTGTAGCAACGTGAGCAATGTCAAATACAACATCCACGATTAATGTCTAACGAGATTCAAATCTTGATGCAACATGAACGCAGTGAACGACAGTAGGAAAGAAATCAATACCGCCAAAATCGATGGCAATAATCAAACAGGCTACACATGATGTAGGTTTTGGATAGAGAAACCAATCCATGATGTTAACATAGACTATAATTTTCTAGCATTTGAAAGTAAGTCTAATAAATACTATTATAGGCACCGTGTTTAATCAGGCAAAACGCAAGGTTAACATAGATTATAAAGATCAAGGTACATTATTATACGTGAAGCACATAAGATATATTAAAACACAAGTTAAACATTCAGAAGGACTGACAAACGTAACAACATCAAGATGTAAGAAAGAACTGTCAATTCCTCCACATTAAGCATCCATCAAATGCGGTGGCATTCCTTTTAGGACATCAAGATTGTTACTATGAAATTTGGCACTAAACTTTGTGCTATATTACAATTTTATATCCGTTAAGTCATGATTTCAGGATCTTTGCTACTTACAATCCACAATATTTCAAAACCCTTTTAGAGCAATAAACAAAAATCCCTAATAACTCAGATGTTCACTGTAAAATACTCACTCCATCCATCCATGAACTTCCATGATTACAATTGTCCATTCTATCAGTCGAGGATTTTTAGGGGATTCCAGTCATTCATGTTGATAACCGCTGGCCACAGTAGAGGTTATATACACTATTGGCAGATCTACCAGAAAAAAAGTTTGACAACCAAGCTTAGTGAAGTGTAAATGCCAAAGACTGCTATCTTCTATACAAATACTTTGATAACGGGAACTTGAGGCTCCTTGCAACCTGCTTAACAAAGTTGTAAGTATTATTATTCTTTGTTTATGTATTTTGAATCTCCTTACATAATCAATACCGGAGTATGTTTGGAGGAGTGTTAGAAAAGAAAAAGATGTAACCTTCAAAGCCAGGTCTTCAGATATGGTCGATCGATACCGAGTTGTGCCTTCAATTGGGCAGCTTCGTCCTTTGAATATAAAGTTAGCATTGCAAAGACTGGATAGCTGCAAAAGAACATCGGACATCAGTCCACCATTTCCACCTTGAACTCCTAATCCATCATTTAGTTCCTCCTCATCGGATGGCTCTTCTGCAACTGATACAATACATTGAAATATGGCTAACAACCTTTCCAATGGGAAAGTTCCAGGTCCTTTCATCAGTAGTTCCTCTTCTAAACTTTCCTTCTGTTCCAGCACTTTCTCAGAGGGCCTACAAGTACACATGAAAAGGCATAACTCAGAAAACAAAAATAGATAAGCAGCACTGAATAGAGATTACACAAAAGCAAAAATGTGCCATGGGAAGACCTAACTTCTAATATCACCTACAAAGTGATAACAAAACCAATAAGACAACAGTTATATTTTAATTCCAACAAAAACAATAATGAAAAGGAAAACAAGTGAAAAAAGGGAAGAAAAGACTTCATTCACAATAAAAGGCTGTAACCTAAGTTCTCAAGTCCAAAAAATAATTCACGCGGAACTTAGTTGTCAGCACAACACAAATTTGGTATTAAATCACCATACTTACTTCCTCTTACGCTTTCGATTATCAGAACCACCTTTGGAATCAAACAGTGAAGCATCAAGAGTAGCTGGGTTTCTAGAGGCAAGAAATGCTGAAATCAGAAGATACTTTGCACTAGTAGACATATGAAAATCTAGATTGCCAATTTCTTCAAATTGCTCCAAACTCTTGGGATTCTCCTTCCGCTTTTTCTCTTTACGGATCTCAACTTCAGTTGAAGGAATAGATGAAACCTTAAATATCTCATTCAAAGAGGACGCAATATGAGGCTTGATATGACTGAACAGCCTTCGCTTCATCTCTTCATTAGGCACAACTCCCTTATCACTTAAAGGCTCACAATATTTTTCATATAGAGGCTTTAAGGCAGTAGACAAATCACCAACCTGCCCAGAAATTCTACAGAAAGGCCTCAGAGCAACACTGCATGAAAAGAAACAAAGTTCTTCACTATATGAGATCATGTAAAGCTGAAAATGGACTGACAGAGAGATAAAGCTGTCTTACTCCAAAAATGAAGAATACAGCTTCTGGTTTGCTTGGTTTCTCAATAATATTTGACGAATATCTCCTTCTGTGTAATCAGGAAAGTAAATGGGGATGGGCTCCACATAACCCATGTTAGTATAAAAGGTATCCGGGGAAGTAGTACTGATAAAAATTAGACCCACCTCAGGCATCTTTAGTAGATCATAAAGATTAAACAGTAAAGGCAATATAGTAGAACTCTTATCCCACTCCCTAACAAGCTGAAAATTATCAAATACCAAGTAGATCATATTTCCAATTCCCCCTTGTGTCATCTTATTTGAGATCAACTTCTCTGATTTCTCCTTCATATTGTTTATAATATTGGTGAATGCTTCCCGAAGAAAATTGATAAAATCAGATGGTCTTTCACAGCGCTTTGCATTTGAATAACCATTGGAAGCATTTTTCCTATGTAGAAGTAACTGATTTAGAATAGATTCGAACAAGATACGTTGGTTATAACATGTCCTGCAACTAGAATAAACAAGAGGCCGGTTGAGATGCCTGAATAATTGAAGAATTATGCTTGATTTTCCAGTGGAAGAACCGCCATACACAAATAAAGGAAGCATTGGTGAATTCAGAGGTCCCAAAAGACGCAAAATCTCAAGAATCTGGTTACTTCTACCAGGAAAGCTAGAAATTATAGAATCTAGGCTGATGGGATCTCCTCCAACTAAAAGGTCATTAACTGTTAGGGGCTCAAGGCTATTGTTTACTTTTGCTGCAGCTGCACTATTTGATGTAGATGCAGAAGATGAGGCTGAAGATCTGGTCAATCTTCTGGGAATTTGTAGAGCTTCGTCTTTATCCATGCTTTCAGCTGCAGACGATGCTTAACTGCTGATCAATGAGAAAACCATCAATTAAAAATGAAATTAAAAGATATGACTACAAATAAGAATGCCAATGGTTGGTTGGACAGATAATACCAACCATGCAATGGTGAGCCAAAACCCAACCCAATGTAAGGGAAAAATCCAGCCTGACACGAATATAAAAAGTCCATATTATTATCATTTATTCAATCATACCATATTAGCACTTTATACATCAACAAAACACTACCCCCCCTCCCTCTCTCCCAAAGAAAAAGAATTCGGTCCTCAATTCTCCATATCAGTGGCATCAATTAACATGAGTACATTATTCAATCCATGAAAACTCAAATAAGCATAAAAAGACTTGCCTATAACCACTATACTGATCAAGATTCATCATCAACACCAGATAACAAAAAAACAAAAACAAAAAAAAAGCCTAAAGTGAAATACAAGTTTCCTTTCAAAAGTAAATCTGAAATGCATTGACTCCCCTGGATTGGTCAACAAAACAGCTCAAACAAATAAACAAAAAATATTGGAGTTCACTTAAAATGAAGCCATTATGCGACTGTAAAAGAATCGAGTTTAGAAACAGGAAAACCCAGAAGGCACAGCATAAGCAACGTGGCCAAGAAAACCAAACTCTGATATCCTCAATATAAAACTATTGATGATTTAGAAACCAATTAATGCAATGCAGGACAGCAGAACAAAGCCAACTAGGTAATTTTCGAACAAAAATTCATCATTGGTAAATTGGCCACTAATTAGGGTTATTTTCAATTACAAGGATTTGGCCCACTTCTATTCCTAGTTTTTCTACCACTACAAGACCCACTTTCAAAAAACGGAACTTTTCACTGTTAATTACAAAATCGAAGAGATCAAAGTTCAGAAACAACAGCAATACTTGAGAAACCCAAGATGCAGCAGAACCATCCTAGAGAACAAGGAAAATGGTTACCTTAATGGTGAGATGAATGAAGAGAAGAGTGATAAACAAAGGCAGTAAGAAATGAATGTGAGGGGTTTGCCTTTACACAGTGATCTGTGATGGCGCCAAATCCAATATATTAGACCCGCGAAAATTGACCTAAGTTTTCCTTCTCAGGCTTTGCTTTCCTTTTTTTTTTTTTTCCCTGAAAATAAAATACATATATTAATTAGAAATATTGTGAGCCTGGTTGTCTCATCTTACATTGGGAAAATTAAAATTATTATCATCATCTTGGTTATTACATAACCATTTTAAATTTAAAATGTTAGTTCAGTAATTTCAACTGTTGCTTAGCTTTTTTGAATTTACCCCTAAAATTAATTTTTGGAAAAAATATTGATGATAAAACAAATTTGTAAAAGATTAAACGATGAATTATTAAACCATAAGGTAATAAAATATTAAAAAAATTATTTTTTAGTATTTTCTAAATAAATTTAAAATAAAACAATTTACTAATTTAAAATAAAAAAATCATTTTCTAAAACTAAGCAATACTTAATATTTTTTATTTATTCTAGAATCAGATAATCAAATAAAAATATTAAATGAGGAAAGGTTGAGAAGAATCATGAATAGCTCATTCGAATCTTTATTTTAATTTTAATATAAATAATAACAATGAAGAAACAGATAATTTTATTTTTTAAAAATAAAATCTTAAAATAATATTTTTAAAAAATATATTCTTTGTCTATAGTTTTTTTTTGCCACATCAACACTTATTTTGTCTAATAAAACTTATTATTATTATTATTATTATTATTATTATTATTATTAGTTAAATTTTGTATTAAAAAGAGATGAAAGTAAATTTCATCTATTGTATAAATAAATTTTATAAGATTGCGCCACAAATCACTCTAGCCTAACTTTTAAAACTTAATTCAATTATCTGTAACTTTTAAAGTATTCTACGTGTGCTTTTATAAATTTATTTAATCTAATATAAATAATAAAAAATAATTAAAGAAATAAATAAATAAAAAAGTGAGTAAGTTAAAATTAATTTTAATATATTGATATGGTAAATATTTTTTACATTGTTAATTATGTATAGATTATCATATTAATAAAAATTTTTAATTTTGTAATAATTAAATTAAAAAATATATCCTATTATATTTTAAGTGATTAAAAGTATACAAAAATTTATACTGATAATATACTAAAATTAAACTTTTAAAATAAATATTTATTATATTAAATTCAATTCACACTAAATTTATATATACTTATATAATTTTATTTATGAAACTACTATGTCACTTGTAAGTAAATATTTTTAATACGAGAGTTGTGGTTTCTAAGTATCTTTTAATAATATACTTGTTATTTATGTGGCATTTTTAGCTAAATGATCGAGAGTTGTAGTTTCTTTCACTGGATTATAGAAGATGAAGAAGAAATTATTCTGATACAATAAAGGGGAGGAATTTTGATACTTTTAAGGTTGATGGTGTCTAATAAAAAGACTGATCAAGATTTTGATTTATATTTTAATATTTATTATTATTTAATGTGATAAGTTTATTTTTGTAGAGCCTTTAGTAGTATTAAGAATGATTCACTTAAGTTATACTAAAAGCAATATATTAATAAATTAATTTATGGTTATTTTGGAGAAATATATTATGTGATGTTGTTGTTAAAAAGATAAACTAATATTATATTATATGAATGTCGCAAGACAATAATATTAAAATCTAACTTTACATTAATAATAAGTTGAAATTGACATCACATTCTCAGTAAACACAACAAAAAGTTTTAAATAATACCAAAATACGTTATTGTTTAGTGAAAAAAAAAAATATATACTTCATGGATCTTTGTTTGGTGTCCTTGTTGGAAGCTTCATTCTTTTTGGTGTCTAAGATGTTGTCCTGATGATTAAGTTATTTGGTAAGAATGTGTTTTGAGTTGTTGATTCAGTTGGTGACTGAGATGATTGAGTGCATACTACTCCACGGTTTTTACACTCAATGACAAATCTTTTTTGCTCAATTTTATTGCATCATCTATCATTTATTTAGGCTCTTTATTTCTTGTCCTTTTGGGTCTTTTAAGTTGCTTTCTTATCGGTGAAATATGAAGTTTCAATCCACATATTTGAGCCTGGATATGATGTGCTGACATTACTTCATAAGCTTCTTTTTTATAATACGAGTGGATAAAATCTTCTAAATTGAAGTTCATATAATTTATATGTGGGTAATTATATGACAACATAGTATCTTTATGAGCATTCAATATTTGCAAGAGAATTTGTGGTTGTTTAACAACAAAGCTATCTCTCAAATATTTGATATGCCTAATCTCAAAAATTTGGTCGTCATCTCATAATAAGTGAAAAAAAAGGACTATATTAAATTACATTAATAGATAGAAGATGAAAGTGAAACTTAAATAAAAGTTAAAAGAATATTATAAAACATATTAAAAATTTATAGGATCATTAGTTATATCTTACTCTATTTGTAGCCCTTTGTTATTTCTACAACCTCTTAAGGATTTTTGACAATACTAACAGTTCAAATTGCATTAGTTTCTTCTTATTCTCAATCCACCTCTCCATAAAAAATACATTCCTTTACCATGGTAATAACAAATTTTTCTCTTGGTCCAAAATAGTACTATTAAAAGATTTAGATATATTATTTAACAAATCACACCAAAATAATATTATTAAAAGTTTCAGACATATTATTTAACAAATCACATTTTAATTCAAATGTAAACTAAGACCTTCTCTTTTTGTCTTTGCATATTTGGGAAGAATTTTCCACACATGTACATTCTCTCTTACCTTCTCTTGTTTTGTTTTTCCTACTACCTCATTGATATTATAAAAAATGTCAACAATAAAATGTTCCTAATCTGAGTCTCTAAATTATATATTTGTTGCACTATAGTTACTATTTACATCTCTCTTTTCCCCCACCAACCTCTATTTCATCCTCTCTCTTTTTTTGTGACATTTTCTATTTTGGTCTACCATCATTACCCACATTCATATTGCATCCTGCATTGCCATTTAATTGGGAATTGTATAATAATTCTAGTTCTAACGTAGATGCACTGCATATATAATTTAATCTTTCTTAAACATTTTGATACTCTTACTATTTTCAAACCACATTTATTATTAATGAGTTCTTTTAAATTTTCATTTAAAGTCACCTATTTTGTACAAGATTTCCTCTATAATTGTCTAACCCATGTTCTTTATTTAAACTCTCTTAATAGGACTAATAATTTTCATCTACTTCCAATGCATTACTTTGCCACTCTCGTAGGTAGTTTTCTTTTCCTTCATAAAACAACCTCCACGGTGAACTTAATCATGCCCTAATGCAAAGTGCATTCAAGTAAATAATTAATAACAACTAAAATGTACAAAAACACAATTTTGGAACTAAAATACAATAGGACAACCACACATGCAAACTACAACCTCTTTTTTTAACACTTCTTCTTTCAACACCCAAAACCATAATGCAACAATAAAATATCTGTAAAATCAACAACAAACACAAAATAAATTCAATAATTTTACATACTTTTAATAGTGCCAAGATTCCTAGATGAATGTTCTTAAAAAAATTCACAAGAGTCATTATGATATTTTGTTAATGTACGATGATGAACTTTGTAATTTTTTCTTTCTTTAATATATGCTTTTTTTGTACTTTTGTGTGGTACAAGAAATATCACTTAAAAAAATAGAACAATATTATCTTATTCTACATCTAATTCTATCTTAGCAAAGTTAATAACATCATCATCAATAAAGTTAGTAATATTGTCAATTAAGTTTAACAAAAAGACTCAACTTGAAATAAATTTACTAGATAAGAAACCTATGTGAAAAAAAGAAGCTAGAAGATTAAAGCAAAACAAAACCAAGTGTTAGAGGACTAATCTATTAATTTAACATTTTTTATAAGTTATTAATTTAGCTAGTTTAAATTTTGTCTTTCTTCTTTATTATTATATAACTTTATGTTTTATGAAAAAGAATAAGTTCTAAAAAAGGTAAACGAAAGAAAATAAAACAATAAATTCTTTTTAATTTATCTATTTAGATAGAAAAAAAATTAAACAAACTAAGAAATTTAATAATTTTGTTAAAATTAATTGCTCAACTTCTTAATTTATCATTTGTTAGGGAGTTTTCTTTTGACTTTTAAATTACTCAAATTGAATAAATATATTACTTAGAAAAAAGGGTATTAATGAAAAAAATAAAAATAAATATTATCTTTAAACTTTTATATAAATAGATAAAAAGAAAAAATAAATAAGAAACAATGAATCTAAGTTTGTAAGAGATGCAGTAATTGGCTGCATGGATAGTCAAATTGTAAACCATAAATTAAGCTTAAATAATATTTTGTCAATTGATTCACATGTTCATTAGTATGTATAGTCGAGTTTATGAATACACATATAATTATATTTTTTAAATATTTAAATTATTTATTTAAAATTTGGACCATATTGTGACTTATGATGAAATTTTTAATATTTTAGGTATGCTTTTTATTATATTAATTATGCTTTTGATGTTTTATTTAACACATTGTCTTAAAAAATAAAGTAAAAAGTGAATAGTTTCTGGATAGTTAAGACATGATTATAAATATTCTTAATGATCATAAAATAATGACTATCCAATCCTTTTATTTATAGGATACCATCATAAATAGCAACACAAAATTAAAAAGTATTGAAAATATTAGATTTATTATACTCAATTAGCTGAAACTTAAATTGATCTTATCTCTTAATTCTCTTAATCTGTTAATGATATAATCATCTATCAATTGATTAACTACGATTAATCATTGAATAATCAATTAAAAATAACAATAATGTTAAAGAAACAATTATAATTAACAAATAAATGAATATCATATATTTAAATTAAAGTTCAAAAAGAGTTATACCACATAATTAACTCGAGTTCATAATAAAAAGTGTTTAATTACACGTAACTATAATGATAAAAGTATAAAAAACTAAACATAAACATTCGTAATCCTAATCAATAAAGAAAGAAAACTCTATGGCTGATCTGTTCTAACAAAACACCAACTCTGTGATGAAGAACTTTCTCT